GATATCAAAAAAGTACTCCAGAGTGTTGTTCAGCATGGGGGTGAGTAGAAAATGAAGGCTAATCATGTTTTGGGTGTACTATTCCTTTAACTTATAAAGTCTTAAATGGATTAGATCCTCCTTATCTTAGAGACCTTTTAAAATTCCAGTCTGTGTGGAGAAATCTACGCTCTAATAATCAACTATTACTGATAGCTCCTCGGACTCGACTTAAGAGGAAAGGAGATGGGGCCTTCTCTGTCGTTGCTCCAATTGTGTGGAACCATTTACCTCTTCAAATTAAATCTGCCCACAGCCTGGATCATTTTAAATCACTTCTTAACTTATTTTTGTTCTTCAGCTTTTAATTGAAGCAGCGTTTCACATTCTGTTTTGTTAATTGGTGCTGTTGTATTTCCTGTAAAGCACTTTGGTGCAGTTTTACACCTGTTTTTAAAGTGCTATCTAAATAAATTTGACATTGACGTTGGAAACCAAATGGAAAAAGAAAGCATCTTTGCATTTCCCATTTGTTCTGTAATCTTTTTTACCTGTGTACACTTTTCATGTAAGACACTGGTGGAGTTGAATTAGCATTGAGTTCCAGGCTTTTATAGAGTAGCCCACTAAAAGCCTTGATTAGAAAACATGCACATAGAAGCTGGAAAACCAGCTATGTACCGTACCTATAAAAGCCTGGAACTCAACGCTAATCCAGACATTTTGAATTGAAAAAGCTTCCTGGATAAGAAGGGAAACATCTTCAGACTTGGACAACAAAGTCCAGTGGATTGTTTTTTAACTTTAACATTTTTGAATTTTATGTAAGATCTGTTAACAGAAAAGCTTTGCTCTTTTTGGGACATAAATCAAAATAATGATGACAGATCACTTACCGGAGCCTTTTTTCGAGCCCTTCTGGTAGATTTATAAATGTTGGTTTTCGTGGAGAGAAAAGAAAAAAGTAATTAATAAAAATGTATTTACTTCATAATTAGGTAGAACTTTGGGTCCTTGGAAAAACAGCAGAAAAACCCGCAGAGGTTAGTAAAGAAGGAGGGGAACATGGACTCATAAAGACACCTGGACTGACTCATACAGGTTGCAAAAGTGAACTAGCTTTCCTTAGAAAATTATGAAATATGTTATGAAAAAAACTGGTGAGAAATCTACTGCAGAATCAAACAAAAGGAGTTAAAGTTGACTTCTTTAAATGTTAAAGATAAAGATGATCATTTTACTGCATCTTTTACAATTGAATTCAAATCTGCATGAAAGAAATCAAGCTTGATTTTAAGAAGAGACCCCAAGTAGAAGCAGGAGGTAGAACCAATACAGGCAAGTTTGGTCACTTTCTATAAGATGTAAAGAGGAATTTACATTTAAGTCGTCCACGCCTCGGGATCCTCTGATGTTTTTCAACAGATCCCTTACTGGCATTCTGACGCGGACTCCAAGGTAAACTTTCTCACCGCGGTAATTGTGACATCTTGTGCCTTGAGGAAAAACAGAAAACAAAAAGCCAGTTTGACAGGATCAAAAAAAGCTGAAGAGTGAGTTATTGACCGAACATGTGATGATGTATGCTGTTCCATTCGCCCCGTGGGGATCTACACAACTGAGCTTTTTACTCAGAACATGAGAGCAGCCAGGAAGAAACTAATAAAAGAAGAAACGTACGGCATGACGTGAGGAGAAAAGGACATGGAACACTGCTGTAGGTAGAAGTAGAACAAGAAAAGAACAAGTAAAAAAGTTGCAATAAGGGTTTCCTGTGGAGTCAAAGAGTCGATGCAAACAACCGGTTTAGATAGAAAACTTTGAACCAACTAGATCTGGATGAATTGTTTGTAAAGTGCCTTGAGATGCAGTGGTGGAAATTAACATTCAATGATGATTCTAAAATTAATGTGTGCTCATAAAACATTTGAGCAAGGGGATGCTCCTCTCCTGTCTCATGATCCAGTCAGGAGACCATCCTGCCTCGTCATTCTGATGGAGCATTCTGTCTTCATGAACTGATCAATTATTCTGTCAGAACAATACTCTGTTTGTAACCATGCGTCATGTTCTGTTAATAAAATGCTCTGCGGAGGAGGTCCAGTGGGAGACAGTGTGTTTGAGTCTGGGGTTCAACTGCCTCTCCTTCCTGCAGGAATTGTATCCAGAAATTGTGTATTTCAGTTCTTCTTAAGAAAAAAAATACATTTTATGAACCCGACACTTGATTACTGTGCTTAAGTAAATTTTTTGAGTATATTTACTGTACTTATAACTTTCACTCCACTACATCTTAAAGTCAAATATCTACTTTCTGCTCCACTCCATTTCCAGGAAGCTGCTTTATTTTTTTCCTTTTGGCTCAGATGAATTTACTCATCCACTGTTTCTGTTTTCCTTTCAATTCAATTCAGTTTATTTATATATGGGTGAAAAGATTTGGATTTCATGCATTTTTGGCCATGTCTTTAATACCTGGTGGGGACAATTTCCTAGGAATATGCTACATTTTGGGGACTCATAGGTACTTGTTGGGACCAACAACTGGTCCCCATAAGGAAAGTTTCTCTTCTTGGGGTGGGGGTTAGGTTTAGGACTAAGG